GACTTGGGGCCAATTCAATGTCGAAAATGGAATTGATGCACCAGAATGGCAAGATAATGATGGCTTGGCACCCCTTCATCTTAGTGTGATTGGTGGTCATGCTTTGACAACCAAAGCTCTTCTCGATGGTGAAAACTGGGAGGGTACTAGCGACAAAAAAGCTGCTATGAGACGTGATATTGCAAAGTCAAGTGCAGTTCTTGCCTTGGCTACAAAGTCCAACTTCAAGAAAATTGTTAGACTACTTGTCGATGCCGGAGTCGATATCAATTGGAAAGATGCAAACTCGAATGATGAGACTGCCTTGCATATCGCCGCACGAACCGGTCATGAGGAGTGTGCAGACATTCTTATTCAAGGTACAATAGATCAAAAGGCCAATTTCGAACTCACTGAGAAGGTCTACTCGTGGACACCATTACATGTTGCTTGTGTTGATGGCCACCTTGGTATTGTGGAGCTCTTAATATCAGCTGGCGCCGATTTATCTAAAGCTGATGCCGGAGGATGGACAGCTAGAGAGCATGCAGCTTTGAGAGGTCATATGGATATTGCAGAGAGACTAGTAGAAGTTGAATTGGAGAAGGGTAATTCTGGGAGCGAAAAGTCTGCCGACAGTGGCAACTCGTCTCCACCCAATCATTCCTCAATCGAAACATTCCGATCACAGAGCACAAACTCTCCTCGAGTTACTGAGCCTGTCAAGACATTCGGACATCGATATCTTACAAATGAAAGCATGGTGCTTGTTAGCCTGGGTTCAATGGATATGAGAAAGAATATCCCTGCAGTGAAGTTGGAAAACATTCCTATTTCGGAAGCTCATTCTACTCAACTCGATACTGCTCTATCAATTGTGGTTTCAGCAAAAGGGGCCACAGGCGAACCTACAATCATTGATCTTCCCATTCACGATAATATTTCTACCGATCCTATTGTTTTCACAACTCTAGACGCCTCCAATGTTAAGTTATACTTCGATATCGTACCGACATATGCTGGTAGCGAAAAGCATAAGATTGGAAGAGGAATGGCAATTCTGTCTAGCATTAGGCCAACGATTGGACTGAAGCGTATGAATCTTCAAGGAGATGTCACTGTACCAATCATTTCCAAAGACACTTTGGAGGACATCGGAACTGTGAACTTTAACTTCCTTGTCATTACTCCATTTTCGCATCCAGAAATGGGAATCACCGCGCAACAAACATATTGGAAAGAGTTGTCTTCAACAATAGTCATCGGTCATAGAGGTCTTGGCAAGAATACTTCTGCAAATAAGTCACTTCAACTCGGTGAAAATACTCTACAGTCTTTCATCGCAGCTGCTAATCTTGGAGCCAACTATGTCGAATTTGATGTTCAACTTACAAAGGATCATGTTCCAGTCATTTACCATGATTTCCTTGTTTCCGAAACTGGTATTGATGCACCAGTTCATACTTTAACATTGGAACAATTTCTTCATGTAAATGAGACCACATCTCGTTCAACACGTCCTCCATCCCCTCCAAAAGATTCCCCACGAGTTCATGCCATCAAAAGAGGTATGGATCGTCAAAGATCGTTATCATTAGGCCAAGGAGAGTTCGAAAATGACATGGCAGAGAGAATGAAGCACACTCGTGATTTCAAAGAAAAGGGATACAAAGGCAATACTCGTGGAAACTTTATTCAAGCACCATTCACAACCCTCGAAGAGATGTTCCGAGAACTTCCCCAAAATGTCGGATTCAATGTTGAGATGAAATATCCTATGCTTCACGAAACGGAAGAACAAGAAATGGATACTTATGCTGTGGAACTCAATAGTTTCTGCGATACAGTTCTTGCAAAAGTATATGACATGAAGCAAAAGCGCAAGGTCATTTTCAGTTCGTTCAATCCAGATATCTGTCTACTGTTATCATTCAAGCAACCAAGTATTCCAATTCTTTTCCTCACAGATGCGGGTACAAGTCCAGTAGGAGATATCAGAGCTAGTAGTTTGCAAGAGGCAATTCGATTTGCAAGTCGTTGGAACTTGCTAGGTGTGGTTAGTGCGGCGGAACCTTTGTGTAATAGTCCTAGATTGGTTAAGGTGGTTAAGGATAGTGGATTGGTTTGTGTCAGTTATGGAGTGTTGAATAATGATCCCGTTAAGGTTCAGGTATGTGTTACTTTCGTCTTATTACCGGAATTTACATACTAATGAAGAAAATAGGAACAAGTAAATGAAGGCATCGACGCGGTAATTGTAGATAGCGTCCTGAAGATTCGAAATGGATTGACGAAAAATGCAAAGGGCTCGGGAGTCGCAACGCCGGCTTGGGCAGATGGTTTGTTAGAGGGTGTTAAGGGTTTGGATAATGATAACAAGGCTTAGATTGGATGGGGAGTTGTTTCTGAAATTAGATAGGATGGATACTTGAGTAGAGTGGATGATTAATGGTGGTGGATGTGTGGATGGTGTATCGGTGGTGGATGTTCGTTTGGTGATTGGATTGTACACACGTACCTAGAAGTGAAGCAACGATGCAGGATAGAAAGTGAATAGAATAGAAGATGTGTATTCCTTTCCCTAATTGTATCTACTGAGGTAATTGGTAGTGTAATTGATAGTGATTTAGTAATAAAGTCATTTTATTGTATACTATGCTATGCTATATGTTACGGAGGTACCCGCACCGCAACATGGATTATAAGATAAACCTAAGGCCTTGATATTGGGACCTACAGAAACAGCATTGTAGGGGATAATCGGCTAAAGAGCACAGATTAGATAAGCAATAGCATCATTACCAGTCACAGGATGGACATCACATGATCAGGAAACCGACTTGTCGAAATCGGCTTTACGATAATCGACTTATCGGTCGACTTCAGTACGAAGGTCTATATAGGGAATGGGTTTCATTATAATGTAGAGCTTCGTGCTCAAGAGAACAATCATTAGTTTTATTACTATAATTACGAGAATTGCAACCAGTTACAACCTTATTGAATTCCTACTTGAAGTCTAGTCTAAACCACCTCGAGAGATCTCTAGACACTTCCACATAACCCTAGAGGCAGCTCCCATAACACTATACTATGCTACGCAATATATATATATATATATACATATATACACAGTATGATATTGATACCTCCTCCCTTCTTGTTTATAAGGTATATATCTACTCAATTAGTAATGACAACTACAACTGTAATTGTAATTATAACTGTAATTATAATTGTAATTGTAACTTTAGCGGTAGTAGTAGTAATAAAAGTGAATAAAAGGTGGGTAGGTAGATATTTATTTAGATAGATAGATATATAATTTAAATAAATAAATGAATAGATATAACGTAACGTATGGGGAACTCGGACACTTTTAGCCCATCACCAACTTGAAACCGCAATAACTTTTATTATGCATACCCAATCACCTTCTACATCTGCTCAAATTGAAGAGAAGCTTCAAAAGGCTATAATTTCACTTCAATTGAAAGAATTTAAATCAATTAGAAAGGCTGCAGAGCATTTTGAAGTCCCTAAGTCTACCCTAGCTGATAGGCTGGCTGGGAAGAAAACACGTTCCCAAACCCACGAAATGGCTCAAATTCTTTCAAACGCAGAAGAAAATACTCTTGTACGATGGATTTCACGACTTACCATCACTGGATTCCCTGCTACACCTATGTTGGTGAAGGAAATGGCCGACGAAATTCGTCTTCGACGCGTTCGGGTCGCGTCATCTCGAAATCCTACCTCGACAGAAATTCCACCTATAGGCCACGAATGGATCTATAGATTCCAAAAACGACATCCAGAACTTAAAACATGCTATTCACGTCAATTAGAGTCTAATCGGGCTAAAGAAGCAACTCCGGAGAATATTCAGGCTTGGTTTGACGCGTTTCGCACGCGTCTCATTGAGCGAAAGTATGAATTAGATGATATGTATAATATGGATGAAACCGGATTTGGAGTTGGAAGTACTCAAAGTACGCGCATTATAGTCGATTCTACTCAGAAATCGAATTGGAAAGTTACGGCTGGCAAGCAAGAATGGATAACTGCATTTGAATGTGTCAATGCAGCTGGAAATGCTCTATCACCTATGGTCATTTTCAAGGCTCAGAATACGAATTCTGCATGGATTCCAAAGGACACACCTCAAAGCTGGCAGTTCTCTACTAGTACAAATGGATGGACCTCAAATAGCCATGGATTAGAATGGTTAAAAAGGGTTTTCGAACCAGAATCCAAGAAAGTGTCAGGTGACCGACCTCGACTTTTGATCATGGATGGCCATTCAAGCCATATTACAGGTAGCTTTATTGCTTTCTGTATAGATAATGATATTGATTTACTTATATTACCTCCTCATTGCTCTCACTTGCTTCAGCCACTTGATATTGCGGTGTATGGGCCAATGAAACGATATCATGCTTTAGAGGTCGATCGATATTCTCGAGCTGGTGTAAAGCGAATCCAAAGAGCTGAATGGGTAGAACTCTTTCAAAATATTAGAAAAAAAGCATTGAATTCTTCTAATATTAAAGCTGGCTGGAGAGGAGCTGGTTTAGTACCTTTTGCCCCACGAAAAGTACTCGATTCATTACCATTTAACTCCTCCCAGCAACCTTCTACTCCACAAATGAGAACCCCCAATCAAGACCTAGACTTGTCTATACTCAGGAGTTCTCCTCCAGATGGAACAGAACTAAGGCAAGCAAATCAGATCTTTAATACAGCTCTAGCAAGCAGTGGTTCTCCTGCATCGCCAACTCGTCGATATGCCAAGAGAATGACTAGGCTTGTAGAATCTCAAAATGCTGAGATAGCCCTACTTCGGAAACAGCTCTCTGATGCTCAGGAGGTAATTGAGACTCGAAAGAAAAGAACTAAAGGCAAAAGAGTCAAATTACAAGGTCAATTTGTCTTTAGTACTAAGGAAGTATTGAAAATGGTACGTGAGGCGGAGGAAAAACCGAAGGAGAAAAAGCCACGAGGACGGCCACGCAAACGCCCAATTGAAGAATCAGAAGAAGAGATTGAAGAAGAAGAGCTAGAGAATAGTTCAAGTGATTCGGAATTGGAATTGGAGGATTGTGTGGCTCGTAGAACAAGATCGCGTGTAGAATAATTGAAAAAGTGTCCGAGTTCCCCATATGTCCGAGTTCCCCATACGTTACGTTATAAGAAATAATTAATTTCATAAATTCGTTTATTTTCTTGTCATCCTGTTCCCTCATTTTCTCCTATCATGATGTATTTACCCAATCGTCTCAAGCACTGTCCTCAAGGAATGCTCTTTTACAGCCTGCTAGATATTCATCTATTGATTCAGTGGAGTGAATTCTCCCTTTCCCCATCTTTGCAATTGCATTACATACTCCATACTCTCTACCTCTCTCTCATTCTCTACACACTCCAATCTAGCAATAACCCTCTATCTGAACTCTCCCATAAATCCCTCGTGGAACTTTATAATTCTACCAACCCATTCTGTACCTGGCGCCAAAAATGTCGTTCTGAAATGCAGCGTATTTTCTCTTTGACCGAAACCACTTCCAGGCACTACACAGACACCCGTGGCCTCAAGTAATTTATGACAATAATACTCATCTGGGCCCATACCCTCTTTCTTCGCAGCCTCTACCGCCTTTTCTGGGATATGGATTGTAGGAAATAGATACATGCTTCCTTGCGGTTCTTGACATTCTACACCTTCCATTTGCTTGAATGCTTCATAGAGAGCTGTTGCGCGTTTTTGGAGTCCAGAAAAGATGCCATCGTATTCTTGCTTATAGAGTTCGTAGGATGGTTCGCCTTGTTTTGGAGGATTGACCATGAGTTCGACGAGACACTGTCCGATAACTGGTGCGCATAAACTGATACTGACGAATTTGTATATCTGTTCTACGACTTCTGGATCGAAACCACACAATTCGAAATATCCACCTCGATGTCCACATTCGCCAACCATACCCTTTGAAATACTGTGCAGAGAAGCGAGTTCGACATTGTCGTATTTCTCAGGAGTCTTGGATTGGAGATCGCGGAGGATTTGTTTAAAAGAGTGGAATTTTCCCTTGAAGACGTTGGTTTGGTATACTTCATCAGCCATCACAACCAATTTTTTCTCGGCGGCGAATTTGATGACTGCTTCGATATCTTGAGGTGGAAGACTTGCACCGGTTGGGTTACCTGGATTGATAATGACGATGGCGCGGACATCGGTTCCTTCCTTGACAGCGGCGGCATATGCATCTTTTATGGCCTGGAGGTCTGTACCCCAGTTGCGAGCTTCGTCGAGGTAATAGGGGACGCATTTTGCATTGAGGACGGAGAGGGAGGCGGTATATAAAGGATATTGTGGGATGGGTACTAAAACACCTGTGTTGGGACCGGCACAGATTATGTGGAGGAGGGTGTTAACTCCAGCGGAGGCACCGGCGGAGAGGTAGATGTCCTTTGGATCTGCGGGGAATCCATCTCGATCTGGAAAGAGGTTAGCCATGCCAGCCATGCGAATAGCAAACAGTAGAGAACATACTCTCAATAAATCTCGCCACACTGTTTTTGATTCCCGTCGCACCAGCACTAGCACTATAAGCACCCACGCTTCCAACTTCCTTCAATAACCACTTCGCTCTCTCTATGACATCCTTCTTGTAGCCCAAGCCATTTAACAATACATCTTCCTTCTCCAATAACGGTGGGTACTCAAGTAAACTCAAGACTTGTCTGAAGAAAGTAATAGGTTGCTGATCCAACTGTTGCGGGTTTCCAATGTTGGCACTTATGACTGTATTGAATGGAAGGTCCTTATCACCCTTTGCAAGCTTGGCTCTGTATTCTTCTGATTTGACCGCGAGGGCTCCACGGACGGCATACTTGGCTTCTTTGACATGAGGGTTGATGTTGTTGACGTTCAAACTGCGGAGAGTGGTAGTGGTAGACATGGTTCTAATTCGGGGTTGTAGTAGTGAGCGGGAATGGAGAGAATCTATGATGAGGTAAATGATGGTTAGACAAATGGTTTAATTTATGTACATCAAGTCATCGCATGATCAATGAAAAATAGTCGAACGGTAAACTTATCCTCCCCTCCAGATAATGTGAAGGACTCAAGGTAGGGGAAAATGGGGTACGGACGATAATTGCCCCCACCGTTTTCTGTATTGGTTGTGTCACTTGTGTGTGTGGTTGGATAAGGTCATCCCACATAATCCCGGAGAGAGGGACGATGGGGATTGACGCCGTTTGAGTCAGGGTAAGTCAGAGACTCAGAGCTCCAATGTCAACGCCGATGTTCGGAATCATCCCGGTCATGAATCTTTTTTTTTTTCTCTGACTCAATTGGAAATTATATATGAACGACGCAGAGAACTCAAATGAAAATGTGCAAACAACGTACCTGCAGCAGCAATGGATCTTGTCAATCGAAATACATTCGTCCCATGTTGTCGTGGAGATCTGCCCGTAGATATATACTGTCTACTACCGATACATCTTCTCGCGCCAGTGCCCAATGACGCGTTGATAGAAGCCATTGTGTAGTGTCGTGTGGTATAGTGTAGTGTAGATACTATTCTTGATAGTAGAAGATATATGAGGTAAGTGTAGCCGATTAGGGAACTCAAACTTCCAAGGTAATACTATATCGTCCAGATATAAAAGACGATATAGTGGTGATGTGTTAAAACGGCGATGGCTTTCTTCAGCTGGGAGTCAAGATGGATGTTATTATCCGAGCGGAATGAAGCGATCGATAATGAAGGGGTAGGTAGGTAAAGAGTGAATGACTTTGGTATTGAGAGAATACCATACAACACCAACAATTCTGGAAGAAAACACGGGTCTGAAAAAAACAGGTCGAGTTTCAAAAAAGACCCTGATAAGAGCTTTGATAACTAAGGTTAGAGGTTGGGTATGATCTACCCGTGCTCCACATCTGCTGCTTATTGGGAATATCTACAGAGTAACAAACGTTGTGACAAGATGAGGTGTTAAAAGCACTTCTAGCTGTCAGTCTAGCTTTGAGTCTCGATTCTAGATGTCAAAAAGTCGAAACACAAGACATAAATCTGCATCATCTCACAGAGATAACCATGCACGCAAGCAGATTATGCAATTCTTCCTACTTACCTATCGAATGAAAAATCTTTCGGGGCAAATGGTAACATTCGGACTGTCAGCTTAGGCCGATTATGTTCTATACCATCACACAATGTGGAAGGTGTTGAATATCTGATACCGACATGCATATATATATCAGTAGTCAAGATGTTCAAATGTTGGGGCCGGCTTCATGTTTTCTGTATTTCTAGAATGGCACATAAATAGAACCCGAGATAATTGGAGAAGGATACCGTGAAAATTCATTGAATATGTGTCTGTCATTGGCAAACCATTGCATGATATCTACTATTAGCTCAGCCCCATATTTGAATACTCCTTTCGTTCCAAATCCCATGCACATGAGCACAACTAAATGAATGAAACAAGTCCCCGCGAAATCCCAATGATGCTCCAAAACCCCAATGCTGTCGACCCAAGGGGTGTTCAACCGACTCCACGCTGATGCATCTGCATTATCTAACGCAGGACCTGAAACCTTCGAGGTACAGGAGCTTAAACCTTGTAGAAGCAAAAGCCCACATAGAAGCTAGCAGCTTCCATTTCCTCGTCACTGACAAGAAGCTTTCCATGGCCCCTTTCCCTGACATTCATACGCTCACTCAGAGGACCTAAGACATCATCGTCCTTCTCCGTATCCCAGATTTGATTGAATGGCTTTTGATACTGCAGTTCGAGGTTATAATCTTCCGCAATCGCACGGAACGCCTCCCATGGTACGACATATTCGGGAACTTCTTCGACGGCCTCGTGGAGGAAAAAGTTATACTTCCATCCAAAAGGTGGCTTAAAGACACCATCGGTAGGAGTTTTGCCTGGAAATCGGACCTGGTAAACCTCATTTCCCCAATGAGCTGTATCTTCAGCTTCGCCCTCTTCTATTTCTCCATCCTCAGCGTTATCTTCCACCTTCTCCTCAGCCTTCTCACCATCGCCATTCTCTAGCGCTTTTGCTTTTGCGGCAACTCCAGTGTGAAACTTCTCAATTTTATCCGATATGACGTGGGAGTTAGGAATACATCCAATTAGCCTACCACCTTTCTTTAATGCGCCTGAGACATTCTTCAACATGGTTCTAGCCTTTGCCTCGTTCTCGAATGCGTAATGTAAACAAAACATCATGCTGACCACGTCGAACCCACCGCCACCAAATCTTCCGGGTCCTCCGGAGCTATCAAAACCGACATCTCGAATAATAGGAATTCGTTCAATTGATTCTCCGAAGCAGTCTTGAGTGAAGAATTCTCCGTGGAAAATTCGAGCTGGTTGTCTATTGTATCCACCTCGGCCTCTGCCACCCCACCCTCCGCCGCGACTTTTCATTTCACGATATCGTTCCTTGGCTTGATCAATTGAGATATCCGCTGGATCTAATCCAACATATAATTCCACTTTTTGAGGTGCCTGTTGCCATTTTCCCAAATCACCACCTTTACCACAACCGATATCGAGAACCAACAGACCCTTTTCTTGACTTGGATCTGGTCCTTCGGCAAATTGATAATCTCCACGCGATCCACGTTCTTGCGCTCCTGGGGTATAATCTTCATTTGGTGAGAATTTCTGGATGATCGTGCTCTTGACCCAATTGTTAAAGCTTCTCAAGCCCTTAATCTTGCTGTCCGTCTTACGCCATTCTCTGCCTCGTTGTGGAACTGCATTATAATGTTCTCTGACCGCATTATGAATTCCTTGAGCAGCTACGGCTGATTCGATTTCTCTTTCACGTTCAATTTGTTTTTGTCGGATTGCTTTGCGCTCGGAATCACCAATTCGTGCTCGTTGACCAGGACGCTTTTGTTTTCGGACAGGCGATGGTGACCTACGACTCTTATAGACATCAGAAGGAGATGGTGATCTCGCGACACGCTTTGCGCCTTTCGTAGGTGAACTTGATCTTTTGCGTTTCTTTGCGGCTTCGAGTTTTGTAGCATTGAAAGGCTGAGGTTGTTCCTCAGGGCCACTATCATCAGCCGTCATCTTGAATAGCAACTTTAACAAAAGTCAAGTTTTTGTAGATTGTGTGAAAGATTTTTTGACTTGAAACTAATAAGAATATTAATTTCTAAATTGTTGTACTCTTGTGTTTGAGATTCGTGTTTTATTGAAGAAAGGAAAGGAAGGTCGAGAACAAAGATTGTAGGTAAGCTTAGAGGTAAGACAGACCACCAGGATCCAAAAATGACGGGCGGCCAGAATTTAGCCTTGCCGGCCTCGCGTTCACACTAGTGCCTGGAATACCAAAAGTAGCTCAGAGCTTCATAGGTAAATACAAATCGCATAGCAACAACTAAACCTTTTCCTTCTTCCAAAACGTATCAAATCACAAAATCGACTCCCCTCTCTATACTCATTGTCCATCTCATATCACAATATATCTGTCAAGATGGGTTCCGATCCTCAATACGCAAAGTATCCTCTCCTCCCAATCGCCCAACACATCTTCACCATTACAAACCCATCCGCTGCCAAAGCAACCCAACAAACATCTTTGAAAAGCCTTCAAGATGCAATTGCCGAACATAAGATGGCTCCTCTTTACAGATACTTGGCACATCCACAGGATGGTATTTTGAACGATGCTGGAGTGACTTCCTCAAATACATCGAGCAGTGTTGGTAGAAAGCCAAGTGCGGCTGGATTGGTGGCGAGCAAGAACTCAATACCAAAAGTCGATTTACCGTGGGATGAAGCTTTGTATCAAAAATTAACAAAGGAAAATGAAGAGGAGCTGGAGGGGTTCAAGAAGGAAGAGGAAGAAGCAGCTGAAAAGGCTGGAGATACTGAAGTACAAGCTGCAAGAGGAAAGCGGGCAGAGTTTTGGGCTAGAGTTGGAGACAAGGTATGTAAATCTATGGCGAGGGTGCGTATTGGTTTTAATGCAGAGAATTAATAGGACCGTGCAATTGCTGCGTACGAAGAAATATTCGAAAAAACTGGTGTTTTGGGAACTAAGATTGATCTCGTCCTCGCCATTATTCGCATGGGATTATTCTACGGCGACAAGTTATTAGTCAAGAAGCACGTTGACCGCGCAAAGGCTTTAGTAGAAAGTGGTGGAGACTGGGATCGTCGAAATAGATTAAAGGCATACACTGGACTCTACCTTTTGACTGTCAGGTCATACAACCTCGCCGCACCACTCCTCTTAGACAGTCTCTCCACTTTCACCAGTTACGAACTCTGCTCATACTCATCCCTCGTCGTATACTCGGTTCTCGCCGGCTCAGTCTCACTCAAACGCGTTGACTTCAAATCCAAAGTCGTCGATGCCCCAGAAATCAAAGCCATTCTTGGAGATGGAGAAGATAAACTTTTAGCATTGTCAGGAGCTATCTCCGCCGGTCCTGGTGCTGATGAAGAGATGCAAGATATTACATCAGCAACTCCTACCGCTACCAAAACCGCAGTAAACCTCACCACCCTCGGCACAGGCACAGATGTTCAAGAAGCAGAGGCAGCACTCGATTTCTCTCCTTTGGCTCAACTCGTTTCAAGTCTATACACAGGTAGCTACCGTTCATTCTTCGGGGCCCTCGCTGCTGTCGAAGTCAACTTCCTTACTCAAGATCGTTACCTCTATGAGCACCGTGGTTGGTTTGTCAGAGAAATGCGTTTGAGAGCCTACCAACAACTTCTTCAAAGTTACCGAGTTGTAGGTCTCGAGAGCATGGCAAATGATTTCGGTGTTTCAGTAGATTTCCTTGATCGGTATGTTTTCAATCCTCCTTTCACTACTCCCCCCCCCCCCCAAATTACTAGTCTCACTTGACTTTATTAATGGAATTAACTAACATCACACCCCTCCAATAGTGACTTGGCGAAATTTATTGCTGCAGACCGTATCCCATGTACCATTGACCGCGTCACTGGCAAGGGCATCATCGAAACCAACAGGCCCGACGACAAGAATAAGCAATACAATGATGTTGTCAAGCAAGGTGATCAGCTGATTACCAAATTGCAGAAATATGGACAGGCGGTTAGATTGAGGGGGAGTGAGAGAGCCTAAGATTTTGAAAGCTCCAGCTGAAGTAGGCGAAGATGGTGGTGAAAAGGAGAGAGGCAAAGAAATACCAGAGATGAACTTGCATGCATGCATAATACATACATTTTTGTAAGATTAAGATAATCATACAATGGCACAGAATGAATTATGAATGAGAATGTGAGGATGAAGGTGACTGATGTGTATGACTGTCATGGTATTTTGAATTTTCTACTACAGTGATTTCAACATGAGACAGCTTACTTTCTTTTCGACCTTTGGGTGGGTACTGGCACTGCGAAGGATAGGCGTTTTTATTTTTTAATCTTAAAAAAGGCCCAATGGTCTCCGCTCCCCTTTCCAAAATATTTCATGACATCGACTCGATTGAGCTGAACTGGATTGGGTATCATTTATTCTCGCGAGCTTGCTACACATAACTAGCTTTAACACGTTTTCCCTGCTCTATATCGTACCTATTCTTTTTATCCTTCCAAGATTCTCGTTCAGCCCAGAGAAGATAATTTTCCACGTCTCAGCCTTCAAGGTCCCACCATCTCGATCCCGATCCCCATCTCTCTACCCAACATACCAGGTCCTCCTCCAAATCATGCCCGCTGCCACAAGCGCACAGGCCGTAGCTCCAAGAGCAATCCATACTCCCGTTCTATCTGGTGCTTCCTCCTCACTCTTCGGAAAAGCTTTCGATGGATCCGTTGCGGCTTCTGCTAATGTAACGAAGAGCTCGCTGATACTATGCCACGTGACACTTACATGCACTGGTGCATTCATATTCATGAGGTGAGCATATTCATCTGGTTGTTTTTCGCATCTCTGGGTTGTTTTGTCGAGGTCTGCTTTGAGGGCTGTGCAGATGGAGGGGAGAGATGAGAGGGCGGGGTACTTTTTATGGAGGTTGATGATATGGGAGAAAGAGTCTGGGTCGGAGGAATCGTAGGCGTAGCAGAGGAGATCGCAGGCGTCGAGTTTGGCTTGGTTTTCGAGGATGGCGGGTTCGAGTTGGCCGAGTTCTTCGAGTATTAGATAACATTGCTTACCTCCGGGTAGTTCGACGCTGTTGACCGCGACACGGGGCTTGATAGTGGGGCGGTAGAGGTGATCGAAGGGACGATTGAGGAAGGCGTCGAGAATGGAAGATTTACCCGACGAAGAGGCACCGAGAACATAGCAAAGAACTACGTTGCGCTCGGTACGAACAGGTCGGCGACGTCTTTTGCGAGGTTTGGTAATTTTCAGAGCGGTGGTTGTGGAGGGTTTCCCAGGGGTGGGTTCAAAACCAAGGTAGGCTATGTATGAGAGAGTAGTGGCGGGGCTGACAAATGTGGTCATAGACCATTGTGCAAGCCAACCTTGAAGGGTTATGTGGCCAGCTTCATTGCGGACTGTAGAAGCTGGGAAGTTTGATTCGAGCCAGTGTGATGGTAGACCGGGAGTAGGTGCGAATAGGGCATTTAATTCGTTGTCGTTTAGACCTCCATCGTTGTCTTTGTCGAATAATAGAAAGAGATCGACGAAAAATCGATAACCAGCGGGACTGAGTTCTGCAGAAGCAAATTCTGGTATATCTAATTTAGGATGAAGGAAACTATCTTTCAAACTTAGACTATCTGTGTAATGATATTTCCGTAAAATAATCCATATAGTCTCGTGCCTACCCTTCTCCGCAAATATCTTGTTGAGCTGAATGAACCCTTTTTGATCAATGCCCCTCTCCATATTAGAACTTGGGGAAGCTCTACTGATTGAGATCTTTATGTTTTCGAGATCAGTTGGAGCCAATGGCTTTTCAAAACACTTGACTTGAAAGTCCTGCATTTCTTGATCATTCAAGTATCCATCCTGATCTTTGTCGTTCAAATAAAATATCCTATTTAGAGCTGCAACACACGCAGGTTTCAAAATTCCCTCCTTGGAGTCAAAAAGTGGTGCAATTGGATGTGTAACAGCTTTTTGACAAAGGAAGAACACCTCATTGACATTGTGATGTTCCCTAGCACTCGTCCGTATGCATGAATCTATCTCCTTGAACTCTGCCATAACTGGTAACATCTCATCCTCTACCACTTGTGCTGTGTTCCCATTTGTAGTCGAGTCCGATTTATTGGCGCATAGTACTACCGGCACATTCACACCCAACGAGCGGAAGTATGGCATCCAAAATAGAGCCACTCTCTCATAGCTGTAATGATCCGAGTATACCAAGAGGATAACATTTGATTTTCTTATTTCTTTCCGTAGTGTATTGCGTTCTTGGGGTTCTGCAGAGGTATCGACAATTGTTGTGGTAACATTTTCGGGAGTTCCAATGCTTGGAGGAATGGTGATCTGAGGAAGAACTGATTGAATTTTGTTCGTAACAAATACATCTTTAACTAGTGATGTGATGAGACTCGATTTCCCAGTCCCATCGTCCCCGCAGACACATATCCGTACTAGTATATCCATAGCAGTCAGCATAGATTGAAGAATGTAGAAAGCTTCTAGAGGGAGGTATGATAGCTAACCTGTAGCCATATTTATATGTAGCCTTGGGCTGTTACACTTTCATCCTTGTTTCACGCCGTCGGCGCTGTACTCAAGCTGGCAAGCACTATACGGTGTAGATACAGCACTCGCGCTTGTCGTATTCTTTTGATGGTGGAATAGAACTCGTGGCTCAATAAGTGTTGATTGATTAATGTGTAACTTACTTGTACGAGTGTATGTGATTGATTGTTTGTTCAAAGACTCCGTACGAAGGTACAGGTACTCGGACAATCAGATCCGAGAGGTTGTTTTCCGGACTATCAGCACTACTTCTGTCCTAGGAGATGAATACGTTCTCCACGTTTAATATTTAGGTTTATGGCGACGTTGACATGCTCCGTGCCATGCTTGATGAATAGGTAATAATAGGCATAGGATAATGGATGAAGTCCTCTTTAGATAAAGCTTGGAATGCCTTTCCAATCTCTTGCACCATTCCATCTCTACCACATTTCCGACGGATTGAATTGGACTTTTCGTGACTACCATCTACCTGTTTTATATACACAATCATCCGATCTTTTGGTACAATCATTCACACACTCACGATCCCTTCATTAAACAGATCTTCAGGGTGACAATACAAGCATCTTACCCCACACTTTTGTTCCTGCAGCCCCCAATAATATCTTCAAACATTCAACTGGTTGTTCGTGAGGAAACTCAACTATTGACACCTTCCTTTCTCATTCGGCTTACAAGCTCGTCATCATAGTCTTTAGCCTTAGATTAGTTTGATTCTAGTCCACTGATTTTCGCTCCAAAATACTATAGCCGTCATGTTGTAAGTGTCGCATTCGAATTTATCCAGAGTACAGCAAATGAACTCGTGCCAAAATTACCGATGGGTGTCGCATTGTGTCGCATGGCTAACGATGAACATAGTGTGTTACCACCACCGCCGCGGTATCCATCGCAGGCAGCGTACAATCTCGCTGTTCAAAATGGAATGGCTATGCCAATGGTAGAGACAAATAATCTGCTTAAGCATCCCGAGGGGCTCCAATTGCTTGCCGGCGAAGGTGAGGTCCCATTTGCAGGATTCCAGGCACTCAATGCTGAGATCATTTTTATAGGGACATACCTGCTGCAGGATGACCTGCATCTTGCGACACCCCCTCATCATCCATCCGACACTCCAGTCATGAACCCAAATCCATTATCTACGACACCGCAAGCTGCAACTGCTGGAACCAAACTTTCTCTCCTATCATTCAGCACGAAACCTTACGCGTCTCCTTTATACAAGCTCGATACCAACAAAAGTTCCCGGACGGGATTGGCTCAATCCAGTATACAAGAACACCCATATGAGAATCGTAATTCTTCGGAGGCACCTGGGAGTAGTGATGGTGGAGGAACTTCGGTCAATGGCAGTGCGAGAGCTGCTACATCCATAGGGTCCGCACCGGCGTTTGGGGAGGGAAATTCATTGTTGTCGTTGACGACTAAAGATACTGGGAAACGTCGCAAACCAAAGAGTGGTATTTTGAAGAGTAATTCTTCATTTATTTCACGATGTATTGTCAATGAAAATGTGGTCAAGAGGCTACAAGATCGTCCAATTGATGGGTACTTTGGGTTCGCCAATATTAATAGAGCTTTTCAGTGGCTGGATTTGTCTTCTCCAAACAAAGTAAGTTCTGTCGCGATCATTGGATATCCTAGAGTATCAAATGCTCATGATCACAACAGCAAGGTCAATTACTCAAAATTCTGTTCACTAAGGCCCATTGCCTTTGTCATGATGTCAATCAGGTCACCAAAAGTCCAAACCATATAGATATTATAATGGGGTTTTCCACTGGCGAAATCATCTGGTTTGAGCCTTTCACCCAGAGATATTCACGGTTGAATAAAAATGTAAGCACTAATTCCTGAGGGAGTCTATACGAAATTCTAACAACGTCAGTGTGTTATAAATTCAACGCCCGTCACACAAATCAGGTGGATTCCTGGTTCCGAGAATCTATTTCTAGCATCTCATATGGACGGCTCTTTGGTTGCTTACGACAAGGAGAAAGATGATGCAGCTTTCGTGCCAGAAGAGGCCGGACCCAATGGCAATGGCAGTGTACCAAGTGAAGAAAATCTGGACCCAACTTCCATGCCAAAAGCCAAACTTCAGATCGATAAATCAGTGCATTCAAAAAATCAAAAGTTCAATCCAGTTTCATTTTGGAAGCTTTCCAACCAGCCCATCAACAGTTTCGCTTTCTCGCCTGACAACAGACATTTGGCTGTCGTGTCAGAAAATGGTACTTTGCGAGTTATTGACTATTTGAAAGAGCAGTAAGCAAATCCCATCTCATCACATTTTCAATACTAATTCGCTTAGACTACTCGATATTTACAACAGCTATTTTGGTGGCTTGACTTGCGTTTGCTGGTCACCTGATGGCAAGTATGTCCTTTCTGGCGGTCAGGATGATCTCGTATCTATATGGTCAATGGCAGATTCTGCCATCATAGCTCGCTGCACTGGTCATACATCTTGGGTAACAGATGTAGCCTTTGATCCATGGCGTTGCGACGACCGAAATTATCGTTTCGGTAGTGTGGGCGAAGATGGTAAACTCCTATTATGGGATTTCAGTGTTGGAATGTTGCATCGTCCTAAAGCCGTAAGCCCTCACTCTTTCATATTGTCAGTGGCTCATGGAGCATATGTTGACTAACGCAAAAATCAGGCCTCTGTTCGTCAAAGAGGTAGTATATCTTCCCGAATGCCAAGCTCCCTTTCAAGGGTTGAAACGCAGGGCACAACAGCGACTGCCGGTCGATTTCGCTCAAACTCAAACCTTTCCTACGCCGAGGGCCGATCAGAGGCCACAATAGATCATCCAGTAGAACCAAGAGCCAAGATTTCTATTTTACCCGCCGTGTGCACGAAAATTGTTGCTGATGATCCACTGTGTTCTTTGGCATTTACGGAAGAGCATATTATTACTAGCGATAAAATTGGTATGTCTTCTCTTCATACGCTTATCTTCAGGACCATGCTTTGTAGGATCACTGAGCTAATCACGAACTAGGACACATTCGCACTTGGAACAGACCAAAGGATCACGACGATAGGGCTGATGAGGATGCTGATGTAGTGCCACCATCTCAGACCTCGTGAATGAACGATTGTAAGTAAGTAGTGAGGATTAAGTAGTTGTATGTTGTTTTGCAGAGTAGCGGTATCAAGCTTGTAACTAAAGCTGAACTTGGAGTTGTGGCGAGCTTGGAGAAGGGGTTCTACATAATAATCGGCGCAATCTCCTGGATGATAATCAAGACGTCATTAGATGTTTTCAGGGAATATACAGAGAATAATAAAATGAATACCCAGGTAGTATGTGTATGTGATTTTTTCACTGTCTAATAAGTAGGTATTTGATGCGACGTCCTATGATTAAAGCAGCGAGATGTGGTGGCTGGAAAAGGTGGCTTGCCGCTAATTCGCTCAGTGGCCCTTCATCCCATCTCAGATTCCAGAATTCGTTGAGGAACGTTTGATCAGCTCAGGCTATTTCTCTCTTTCTTCCTCCGTTGAACAATAACAGATTTCGCAACATGGAATCATATTCTTCCACAAGCCCAAGAAAACACTTCATCTTACGGTTGGGAATCTTGTCGAAAGGGAAGCAAGCAAGCATTTGTATTGTAAGTGAAGCAGATGGCTGTTATCAAATCTACAAGATCTGTTGGAGTCACTAATGTACTTGGAGAGAAGGCTACATTTTCGTCTTTTCATTCCTGTACGAATTTTGAGACGGAACCTCGAGATGCAGTAAAGTAAATCGGAATATGCACGATAACAATGAGATAATCGAGAAATTAGATTACATTTTCTAAGCCTAAGGGGATTAAGGAAGTTAAAAAAAAATAAGACTAAACACGTCCAAAACGAGACACTTCAAGAGCCCAACCTCTAACGTCAGCTTCGTCTTCCACATGATGGATGAGAATCTCATAATTGCATTGTTTGGAAAAGCCATTGTATTTTTGCATTCGCTTTGAGAACTTGCTACTGTATGTGTCTACTATGGAAAAGAGATAGCTAATTCCTCGCGATGCCAGCGAAGACTCGATTACTCTTCGATGGCTTTAATAGCTCGCTGTTTACGCGGATGCTCTAACGCCTTTTGGAGACGTGGGGTGGTTCAAAGGAACTTCCATCAACTGACATCTTTCGATTTCTGCAAGTGTGTGAAAAGCAGTCGCTCGATAAGAGAAGATGAATTCGATTCAACTTATATAAGTTTAGATTTCCTCCATTCTGGCACACTCTTTATGAAAGCCTTCATTTCCCTCTCTAGCTTAGTCACATTCTTACAAAAGGATGTGTTTGGCTTATTGTACTGTCTGCAGTTTTTGATGATCAACTTGACATCTTCCACGAAAGCTTTGGGTGTATCGTATAGACCCTCATCTAGCTTTTGCTGCATGGTCTGCAAATCCATCGGATGCTTGACTACTGTATAATAGTCTTCGACTTGCTTCACATCAACAGGTTCGAGGAAAGGCCAGGCATGCTTCCCCTGCTTCAAATGATTTAAGAAATCCTGGAGTGGATTGAGGAGGGGTGTCGGTTCTTTCTCGCGTGATAGTTCGTCCATTTCTGGTGCCCAGCCAGATTGACGAATGCCAGGAACAGTGTAAGGGTCGATTGGGCCAACAATTCCTCGAGCCCATTGCGCGGGAGGATGATGTAGAACCTTGCTTTTGTTGTTGGCAGCCATTGTGGCGATCAAGTATTCTTTCTGCTTACGAAGCATTCGAGCCGCTTCGACATAGCGCATTCTTGGGAGCAAGGTGCACTGCATAAGTTCCGATTTGATATAGTCCTTTATGACACCCGCCCATTTGCGTTCTTCCAACTGAATGTCTTTGGTAAAGCCTTGCCTCTGGAAGAAACCAACAGCAGTAAGATCGGCATATCCGAGAATTTCCATCACTGTTTCCTTATAAGAGTATTTGATCTCGTCTTTGAAATGATTCATCATGTGCGCCCCATACCCCCCTCCCTGTTTGTTCGCACTAACAACAACGTAAACCATTTCGACAAACCCACGGTTCTCGAAAACACGATAACAAACCCCACCAATGACAGTCTCCAATTTTTCAAAAGTTTGAACAATGCCCCCTTTCAATTTTTCATTGATTGGTCTCTGCGATTTCTGTATCATGACTAGAGTTTTGTGGCTTGCATCAAGAACTGTTCTGGCGATATACGCTGTGTTCATCTCCGCCAGTCCCTTTCGAACTACTTGTTGAAATTTTGTGAGAAGGACAAAATTCTCTGGACTTCCATCATTCACTACAGTTCGAAATTCGATAATGCCATCTCGTTCAGCCATAACAGCATCCTTCAAACCTATCAGTTTTAATACTTTCTTAAGGATAAAGGGTTAAACTCACACTATCCATATTTGCTGGTATTTGACAAACTTGAAAAATATTTGTTCAATATTAGATGAATGGGTTGCGAGAATCTGGTTGCAAATTTGACTTTGTTAACATCAGATGTGGAATAGAGTGAACACATGTGAAGTCTTTTGAACAAACAAATAGCTTGATGTAGCTATTAATATATAAAGGAAGATGACCGAACCAAGTTAATTTCTCTTGGGATTATCGAACGATAGTACGGTCATTGAGTCAAGTCTTGTGTAACAAGATGCACTAGCATCTTTATATTCACTCTCGTACGGTTTGATCAAGTTCATACGCTTGTTGACTGTATGGCTCTTGTGGATTGATATACAGAGATTAGGTGAACCTACCTTCTTGCGTGTGAAAAATGATACTGTGTATAACGATGATTCTGCGTCGTCTTCACATTTGTTGACATGAGCAAAGATTTTTGTAGTTTCAAGATTGATTATTGTAGTAAAGATACAAGAAAGAAGGTTTGAATAACCTTGAGTGAACTTGGATAAAAGGAAGGCGCGTGGGGAGTTGGCGAATCAAATTGAAAATGGGAATGGGGAGGAACCAGGGAGGTACCTACTTCAAAATGATAAATGCTTGTTCACATGGAAAGATTATTCAACTATCCATGACATTCATTCAAGCAGCATAGTCAATGTATAAGTGTCGCGTGGCAGCTGGGAACTTTCTGAACTTTCTATGCTATATAGATGCTATCGCTGCAGGAGCAAGTGAATCTTTTGAATGGATCATCTAAATTACATGTAAATGATAGTATCTTATCATATCTTAATGTGCCTCAAGAACTCAACTTGAGTGATCAAAAACACTCTTACAATACTCATCGCTCGAGTGTTCATCTATTAAGCACTAGTGTTATCAAATCGCTTCATTTCTCTCGCCTTTCTAGCACAATCTGCCTATGACGTCATTGATTTGTTCACCATTTCCTAAGATTTCAATGTTCCATCTTTCACATGTACAATCGTCTATTATCGCAGCAGTGGATAATGTATCGACCTCTTTCGTTGATTCATCTCCGGTTTCTTGTTTGTGTGGAGATATTGGGGCAATTTTGTAACCATGCTGAGGAGCTCATTTTGTCGGTAAATCTGCTGATCAACGTCTTGGAGTATTTTTAGGGAAGCGATGATGTTTGTTTAGGTATATTGTTATAATAGATAATTTATACGTTGTATGCAATAGTCAGCAGGTGAACGGAGTGGTAATACATGTTTGTATTGTCCATATATCTATCACATCGTTTTCCTCACTTGAACTCAGGAGATCGATTCTAGTGGTGCGGATACAATAAAGCTGTATAGGATTCCTATAGAATTGTCTATATCTTAGAGGCCTATCTATCTCCATTCTTGTAGTAATTGCGGCATTTCTTCTTGACAAATTAGCTATGATATCGAAGTTCCTTTAATTCCTGTACAGAGATTCGTCTGCTTTAATAGAAACTTCGGGTAATCCATTCAGATAGACGCATTTGCTTGCAAAGTTATAATCAGTGTAGGCAATAGTATACTATAGTAAAACGGTGGCGCGTATGAAGCTTTTGATATGATAGATAGTATGTGTTGGAGAAATATAAACTTATTGCTGTATATATTACTTAAACGGGTATATACGAAGATATATGGTAGAATTGAAATATAAAAACTTAAAAATTAAAATTAATCTCAATAAAGTCTAGATAAGTGAAAGAATATTTTCAAAATGTTTAAATTCGTGAAAATAATATAATAATATCGATATTTATATTTAAAGATATCAAAAAGATTAAAATATTCGATAATATTAATGGTTTTTATAAAATCTAAAGATAACCTTAAATCCGTATATTTTGGCTTATTTAATATTAATAAGAGATTTGTATTCCTGTATTTTATTAGTAGTATTTAATATTAGGATAATATTGAATATCTTTAGTAGTATTGAATTCTATATTATATACGTATGTATTTCGAAAAAAATCGATACGTATTATCAAACTAACCCGTATACGAATTACGGGAAATATTATTGCCTATACTGGTTATAATACACTTTATATCTAATCTGATCTCTATTTTAAACTCTATTTTGAGTTCTTCATAACTTAGTTTAATCTTCTTGTTCAAACTTTTGACTTGCAGTGTAGAAATCAATTGATGGAACTATCACATGTATTTTGTTTTGTAGAAGTACTTTTTGGATATCCTGTTTTCTAGACAAATTCCCCTGACTTCGTAGGTGTAAGAACCGGGCTATTCTTGTTTAAACTAATTCTTGGTGAAGAAGACAAGTTTTGTTATACATGCTTCGCCTACGCCTATCAACTCATCGCACGTATCTTTGCTATCTCCACTCCACATGAATTCATATGTTCTAGCAACACCATCAGAGATTGAAGAAAGACTTCTGTATCATGATAGACATTTAGAGAGTTGACTTTGATGAAATTCATTTTTGATTATTCTGATCCCGATAACAATATTTTGAGACTAATTTCTCAACAAATAGAATCAAATAATAAACCCCCTTGCACACCTAAAGAATTCCGAAGCTGGAGACGTCCTTGTATAAGAAGATGTTTTGTTGAAGTTATATTAGTTTAGGATCGAAGAGATCACATGTGAAAGGAGAATCCAATCCAAAGAGAATGATTTTAACGAAAACAGGAATCCAAATCATTGAGGAAACGACAATTTCAAAATCTGTCAGCCTCCAGCCATGTATAGAGGAGTACTTGCTAGTCACCAATCTTGATTCAAAAAGTGGTCGGCTTTGTCAACACTCGATACTCGACGTAATCTTCTCCATCTATATTCAAAAGCTGTGGGGGTCCAACATGTTTCCCCTCGAATATACCATTCTGTCTTCTCGTGTATTTGATGTCATCGTGTATCTTGACATTATCGTTAGACAAAGAGCTGCTACTCGCAGAAGGCTCTGGACGTGTAGAGGTGACTGGCTGCTGAGTCTTCGCTTCCTGTTGAGCTTCCCATGTTTTGTTCAATTTGGTCATCGACTTTGCGAGTTGTCGCTCAGCCGACGATTTTCTTTGGGGGGCAGATTGGTCTCCCAGAGTACAGTCGACAGAAATATTATTTGCTCGCTGCGGATGTGGCGGCTGCTTTCCATCTGCTATCTTTCCTCTCGATATCTCCCGGTGTCTGATAGATTGTTCAATTTCGGGATCGGGATTGGAAACATCGTAGCTAGAGCCGTTTCGATCTGACGGATATCGTGATGCCACAGCAACCTTGGCCAGTCTGACTGCGTTGAGTTGCTGGCTGCGCGAATCACGATCACCACCTTCCAGTATTTCTCTTTGACGAATAAGAATATACTGTTCAACTTCCGGGCGCTTCAGCTTAGACAAATGCTCCTCAAGCACAATCTTTTCGTATCGGGTTTGATAGTTTCCAATGCCCAGCGGAAAATTGCCTAACACGAAACGCCCATCACGAGTAGATTTTCGAATCATGAACCTGAATTTACGATTGCCATTGGTAACGGTACCAAATACTGCGTGTTTGTCTTTTTTATTCACCTGGTTTGAGTCCGCCCAAAATCCAAGAAGAATTTCTGGTTTAGGCGATGTTTGAATGTCATTGACTTTAGCAGAAACATCATCGTCAAAGTCATGGGATTCACGCGAAAGCCCATCTGATTGTTTTTGATTTTCTTGTGACTTGAAAATGACGTAGTCTTTGATTTGATCGGGAGTCTTTGTATTTAGATAAGGATCAAAGGCGATCTTTTGGAATTTGACCCAGCAGCCGTAAGCTCCTGGAGAAATAGCCAGAGACTTGCTGTGTTGACGATTTGTTCCGTAGATCCTGAACCGAAGTCGTTCTCGATCATCGATAAATCCATGGACGATATGTTTGTCGTGGTCGTCAAGTTGCTCTGAGTCCTTCCAAGTACCAACAATGACACCACGGAATTTTGAGACCGAATTTGTGGGAGTTAGCTTAGTTCGCTTTGGACCGGGTATTTTGATGCTCCAGATGCCTTCGTCATAGTTAACCGATGGACGATTTCGTTTCGGGTAAGATGAGACCGTGATCACTTCCTCAGCCGTGCCGTGTCTGGCAGATCTTTCCTCTACCTCTTTATCTTCGTTAAGTTCGTCATCAGAATCTGAATAAATATCAGTAGACTTGATGTTACTAGAACCGGAAGTAGTTTGAGAAGGCTTGGGTAAATTGATAACAGGAGGAACACTCGTAATACTTTGGAGAGTATCACTTTTCATTGCCATTGATTTTGCGATTTGTCCATCCTCTTTCGGTCGATCGTTCATCTTTTGGCGGGTATATGATCTCAGTATGCTATGAATGAATGGCATTAGCATCGATTCAAAACTTGAATTCTCGACATTCAGTTCAAATTGTACAAACAGACACGAGACAACGCTGTTTGCTGAGATTCAAAGTGTAATTCTAAACACCGATGTGTCCTACGAACAAACGGGTATACACATACACAAGTTGAATAATGATTAACGCAAGTAATTGATGCGATAGTACACAGGCTGACTATTGATGATAGTATTCTTCAGAGGCTATGCACAAAGTTCATACTTATGAGCAAAAGAGAGATAATGAAATACACGATAAAGTGTTATTATGAAGTTGTCCGCAGGAAAAAAAACTCACAGAGAAGTTCGCGAGTAACTCTGATGCCAAAATGAACCTTAGGGTTGGTTGTTGATGAGCCTTTGTACAATTGCTTAAGATGATTCTGGAAATTGAACGATTGAAAAACTTGAGAATAAAATGAAAAGAGGGGAAAAGAAGAGGAGAGTAGAAAAGATGTGATGAAACAATTTGCATTTGCTAATCCCTACTGTCTGGCCGTGCAAACCGGTCAATTATTCATTGGTCCTGAATATATTTGATGGAAAGGTGTGATAGGCTAATCGCGAAATAATGATAGATGCTAGCTTATTAGTCTCGCTTGCCTGCATACCAAATTTCAGCCCATGTCAGGATGAAAGACCATCTACTTCGATTTCTTCTCAAATCTTGAAGGGCATCCCCTAATTCGACGCTGTACTTAGATGCTCTTCTCAGTATTAGAATTATTTTAAGAATAAATCTCCTTCATGCTTAGTTTTAAAGTAAGAGTAAAACTTGAATTAAAAAGCTACTTTAACGGAAACTTTCGTATTAATCTATATGTAGCTGAAAGAGTAACTGCGTATCTGCAAGCAGCCGCCTTAGGCCCTAATCTCGGCTGAATACTACAAGCCTTCAAATAAGAGTGATAGCAGCTAGTCTTTTACGAGTATAGATGAGTTGATTCTCAACAAAATTATTGTTGGGCAAGGGAGAGTTAGATAGAATATCATTTTTTTGGTTCTAATCGTTTTGAAAGTTGGCTTGTATATACGTATTCTTCGATTTGCTTCTCTATCTTTTGTTTGTCTTATTGGTGAGTGGACAGGTGATGAGATTGAGGAACAAAGGTACGTTTCGGAAGATGTGCCTGTAAATGCGGTTATTCTATCTCGATAGTCTTTATGTTTCAATGACATTTACGATGCGTCTGTTGTAAGAATAGATTTTGAGATTGTATTTCAATATCCAATTCGATACTCGTGTTTGTAATGTATGGATTTGATATTTTTCTGGTGAGTATCATCGGTATGATAATTAATTTTTTGCATAAATATGTCGTTAGGCAGGTATCGCTTGTTTTCTTTCGCTACTGAATTAATCAGTTGCTCTGTTTGCTTGGCGTTTAGTCATTAGACATAGGTACAGCATCTCCTAACAAAAATGAGTCACGTATTTTCAATATGACGAAGTTTACAAACCGTAGTTCGAAGTTGATAGCCTCGTTCCTTGAAGCTTTCTTACTACAGAATTGAGCATTTTCACATAAAGTGAGATGAGATAGATTATATAAGAAGATCAACCTTATAGAATGTTCTCATTCTCTGAAGCAACTTCCGACTATTAGGTTGTGAAAAGATGATACACATTTATTTTCAACACAAGCATCATATCCCAACCATTTAAGTTCTCTTTTAAAACGGACTCACTTTTGTTAAAACATAACGCTTGAGATAATCGTCGCCATCTATTTGTATAATGCTGGGTCATGAAACATGCTTACCCTAAAACATACCGTTATATCTCTTCGAATACTCAATCTCATCGTAGACTATCATCTAATGTTGGCGTTGGGCTTTGAGTTGGGACGCTCGTAGAAGTGAAACCACTCCAGGGCATACAAGTGAGCCGGATGTACTGTTGGAGTTAGCTGCATCATGTAAAATATGCGTTTGACTTGCCGATGACGTTGGTATATTAATCGAGGATATCTGGGTGGAAGAAGCAGCAGGGATTGAATTTGACAGCAAAGCAATGAGTAAGGTTGTTGCATTAGCAAAGAATGAAATAGCAGCCGATTTTCCACTTCCTGAAATTGATGATAGACAATCCAGATTTTTCTTTTTATGATCGATTTCTCTTTTTTTGATGTCTCTCAAGATTGACGGAATCTTGCCTTGTGCCGAGTATTCTCGAAAGAGTTCGAGGCTTGATAAATTTTGTCCTGGCGCGATATGACTGGAGTGACCGTGGTCATATTGGCTTCTTGGTAAGCCATAGATTCAAATTTATGAACCGTTTCTTAAGCTTCCTGAATGGCCCTGAGATCATCTACACCTGAAAGCTCGATATTTATTTCCGACTTTAACATCTTCCCTTCGCTCCATGGCACTCAATGGTCTGAGGTGAAGATAGCATCTAATGCGGGCTTCTGACAACAAAATGCCACGATGCTGTTGTGTACTAGGGAGAGGGCACTTTAGAACAACACCTTGTGTGTTCCGATTGTGCACAACGTATTTAAGTACACCGGTCTCGTTGATGGTTGCGCCAAAGACATTTTCGTTACTAGTAGGGCCAAATCCAGAGGAGCCTCAACAGATATCTATTTCTTTGGGTATCTTGCGACTGCATTGGCTAGCAGCAATATTTTCGATTGAGGTTTTGTCATTGTAGTCTATCTTTCATAGTTTCTTGACTAATAAAATCGATGACTTTGAGACGAAACAAACCTGTTTCTCTGAAAATCAGTCGCTGCAAGACTTTCTCTTGGGAAAAATTGCGATGGAATTGTCTGAAAAGGCGGGAAGCAGGAACTTACCAAGAGAAATTATGATTCATCGAAATACTATGAATTCAACGATATTGCAACAATGAACACTTAAAAGAAAGTGGTCCGGCATATAACTATTATCAAGCGAGCACTTACTTTTAATATCAGAATGCCCTCTACCCGGGAAAAAGATTTAATAATCACCCTTTTTGTGGCTCTCGTATATCCTAATGTATCGAATTGACCCCGAATAAGTTATCAAATCAAATAGCCAAACCGAAAGGACCCTGACATCAGAAACGAGTGTAGTAACACCGCGAGTTGAATGACAACTGATACATGCGGGGGATCTCAATTCCAGGAATAAAGATAGGGGCACCTTGTTGAGCGCGGCTAGCTGCAGTGCGCCTTGAAACCTCAGATGAGCGAAATGTTGAGAATATATACTAGGTAGTTTCTTGGTATACATAATGACAAGTAACATCCATCTGTTAAGTGATTATCCCAATGAATGACTTCCTGAGTAATGATATATCATACGATGATAACTTCGAATAGTAACATAATATATTTCATGAGTTGATATCCCGCCTAGTATTCTAATTGGTCCTTTTTATCTAAACTAGGATTCTTGATTTCCCACTCTTTACTTTCTTCAAAAGTGTCATTACTTCAATCTTTAGAAAATCTAAGAAAGCAACTGAGAATTCAAGACATTCAACAGATTTGAAAATAAAGTTGTTGGGAAAATCTAAAAAATTGGAGAAGAGCCTTACAAATCCCAACGCTGGATGGCGTACAACCGGACCTTCTTCATTTGACCAAGTCATTGTGGACCCAAAAGACATCAATTCTACGTTCGCGAGTTGGCGATTTTTTTGATTAAATTTTCGTTAATCGTGGATCCATTATCTTGGAATATTCCTCTTCTGGATTTGACATACCCCATAGTATACTACCTCCCTATACCACCTCCTTTATTTCGTTCCTCTTGAGTATAGATTATATAGCGAATAGTGTAAGAGTAGACTAAGAGCTTCATTTCAGCACTATTCCACTGTATACAACGCTCAGTAAAGCAATATTACTGATAAAAGCTGATGATTTTACAGAGGCCAAGTCCCATTGAACGAAACGAAATATAGTGACTGAATATTATATACCATGTAGATATAAGTTCTTAGCTTCTAAAATATTTACATACTTCTGGAAAGCTTCAAGGCAAAAAGAAGAGAAGAACCTATGACAGTCTGTCGATTATCTACAATATATCGCAGTCATCGCTATCATGATGTTTAACCAAACGCAAGATACCTTCGCATCAAAGCCTCAGATAAGCGAGCGGTTGTATGATGAGTAACCGATTTTTGAAGCGAAGTCATCTCTCAATCTTGGGGGATTGATTGCGGCGTATGGGTTGGTGATTTCACAACTCTTTTGTAAGACGTCGTTTCGCCTTAGTTCTCCTACTTTCACCATTTCAACCAATAGGGAAGATTCATCTAAAATGACACGTTTTGATTCTTCTTCCGGTTTTCTCAAGTATGATGAAAAAAGACAGCAGTTGATCAAAACATTCCATGATGATAGTCCATAGTCCCACAAGAGTCGTTTGCAATCCTGATAAATCAGATTGTATTGATGTATCAGATCATTTTTTGAAGAGTTTTCCCAGTCCACCGAGGAGAGTATGGCGAAAAAAAATTAAAACAAGTTAAAATCAAAGCTGCTATGAAATATCAAAACTCAAATTCGGCCGCCAAAGAGAATTTGTCTAATTTTCCAAGAACGATTTGTGAAGAAAGGCCAAAGGTTGACAAAACTCAGCCAGCAAGGAATATCATACTCTAGATCAAAAATATCAACGCACGAAGACTCTTTAATATAGATTGCATCGCATCTCACAGCAGCTAGATATTCATCGCCAACTTCAATAATATCGCCTAGTACACTTCTCTCACTAACTATGGCTTTCCCGTAAAATAAATACGATGGACTTTTAGATCAATAAGCCGCAAGTGATTGCGAACGGCTCAAGGAGATTTTGTCTGATGATGCTGATTCAGTCATGATCTGGTCATTTCGTAAAGCAAATGCATATCCATTACCCATGAATTATCTCTAGCATTTATATATCTATTTGTACCAACATAGAAATCATTGATTTGGCAAACCCACATATATCTATCC